TGTTGGTAACCATGGCCACACCAATATCCTCACACATGAAAGATAAAAATAGTATCTTCACTGTGCGCGGTGAAGATATGATTTTTTAGTAAAAGGAAAAATCCTGGTATTTCATCAGTATCTATATAATAAATCAAGATAACTCCTACTTGATGAAAGTTTGGGTATTCTCACTAGGGAGCAGGGATGGCACGGTGGTGAGAGCACTCACCTCCCACTGCTGGGGCCTGGGTTTGATTCCTGCACCTGGTGTCCATGTAGGTTGAGTTTGTTGTTGATTCTTGTCCTAGCTCCAAGGGTTTTTCTCCAGGTCGTTCGGTTTTCCTACCTCCACCAAAACCAACATTCCAAATTCCAATTCGATATGGAAACAGTGGACAAAATGACCCACCCAGTCTATTGCTAAATTTTTTATTTCTGATTTATTTATTTATTACCTGTTTGCTTAGGATAATGTATGGATATTATAGGGAGAAGTTACATTTTAATCACTTCTGGGAGTCAAAGGGTTTATGGGTTAATTAAACTTGATGTGCAAAAAGCATTAATCTCCAGAAATATACACTGAAAAAAGAAAGCCAGTTGGTATAAAACTTTGATAAATTCTGCCATTGTTTAGTTTTGGTTCATATAATTATTTCAATTTCATTACAACAATGACAACAAGAATTTATTATATCAAAATGTACATTTTGCAGTTGGGCTAGCCCGCAGATAGCTATGCTAGTCTAGGTGGGCCAGTTACATTAGAATTCAGCTAATTAACAGTTTCTTGTTTCATTTTAGGTCAAGCTCACAAATATACCTTGCGCAACTGTGGGATTATTGTAGCATCAGATTATCGGGTAAGTGCTTTTGTTGGCTTTCTTGTACTGATTGCTTAAGGTTTATAGATTTGAGGAAAATGTGGTCATCAGAGCAATGAGGAAAGCTATTGGCTTGGGCCATGTTGTTACATGTAGCTTCTGTTCTTATTTAATTTGCTTTGTACACGAATAAAATAACTATCGGATACATTTGAGTGTCTTGCCAGGCTCTCAGTCTCTGACATCCTACCTGTAGCGGCAATCGTCAACCCAGTACTCCTCATCAGTATTGCAATTGACCAGGGTGTGCTTGACAGTTTGTGATGTGATTCCTTTATGATGAACAAAAATCTCAAAATAAATTTGCCTCTCCCTCAGTATTTGGGATTTGCAAATGTGTTAATGGAAGCTTACCTGTGAGAATCCCTCCTTCACAAGTTTACAGGTTTTGGCATTTTTGAGGGCCATCCATGAAGCTTATTGAAATAAACTTTACTCTTATGATCATAATCTGAAATTAAATTATGTGCCCTTCTAAGCGTTTTTGTCTTTGATTAATTCCTCCCCTTTCCCTCTGGAGAAGAGGAGGTACTCGGCCTTGACCATCAAACTCTTCCCTCTAGACTCAGGACCTTGAAAACCACACTTTGTCTAGGAGCACAAATAACACACCCACTCCCCCCTCCCACTGCTATGGTGAAGGAGTGGAATATTGTTCTTGTAACGCAACGGACACGGGCACTGTGACGTCACGATACTTAGCGTGATGTACATGTAACCTAGCGCTACCTCATGCAACATGGTGTAATGCAATTTGGTGTAACGCAACGTGGTGTAACCCAACCTGGTGTAAGACAACGTGGTGTAACGCAACGCGGTGTAACGCAACGTTGAGCTCATTAGACATTTTTGTTTTTTTTCAGATTGATCGACTGAAGACTTCGATAAAGAAATGACTGAATATACAGAATCGACTGAGCACGATGGTGTAGCTTCGGTTAGTGACGAATTTGTGAATAGTTTATTAAATGCAAAGCGTGAGAGAGATAAAGCAATGTCAAATGAGGTGAGGTCGCAGGTGCAAAACGAGTGCAAAGCTTTTGGCGGCGAGGAATTGGCGAAACAGAAATGGGAAGATGCCGCAAAAATGATCGCTTTTCAAAGAGCTAAAGAGAAAGAAGGAACAGAAAGCAGTGAGAGTAAAAGGGACAAGTTGCAACAGGAACAGAAGAAATTGAGGGACGATTGGATGCGAGAGGAAACAGAAAAGAAGCGGCAACTGGAAGAACTTCGTCAAGTTGAGAAGAACAAGGCGAGAGAAGAAGCAGATAAACTGATGTCTCTGGAATTTCAAAAACTTCAAGAGACCGAGATGGCCAAACAACAAGAAACAAAAGATGTTTTTGCCAAAGAACAAGAACGGAGATTGCTAGAGGAAGCGAAGCAGACAGCCGAAGAACAGAAACGGCTGGAAAAACAAAAAGAGGTTGAGCGGGAAAAATTGAAACACTTGGAACAGGAAATGGAACGCGCGGAACACGAGCAAAAACGTAAACTGGAAGAACAGAAAAAGCAGGAAGAAGAATGGGTTCAATTTGCGCAAGAGATGAAACAGAAACAAGAGGAAAAGGCCAGAGAAGAAGCTGAGAAACAGCGACAGTGGCAAAGAGACAAACAGAAAGAAAATGAAGAGATAAGTCAGTTTGTGGAAAGACGGAAAGCTTTGGAATCAGAGAGAAAGAAAATGTTTGATGAGGAAAGGGGGAAGACATCTGAAGAAGCTCGCCTGTTCGAGTCGGATGTGCGACAACAATTTTTGGCGAAACAGGAAAAGGTCGTTACGGAATTGTTACAAAATGATCAGGTGAAGGATGAGGTCAGAAAACGAGAGGAAGCGGAGTTGAAGAGGAAGGAGCGCGAGGAGAAAAGGCAAGAAGATGATAAGAGAAAGCTAGAGCTTGAAAAGCAACTAATGGCTGGGGAGAAGGAAAAGAGAGAAAAAGAACAAAGGATGAAAGAGGAGGAATGGAAGAGATATCTTGATCAGTTGAGACAGAAAGAAGATGAAAAAGTCCAGAGGGATACTGAACAACAAAAGCGAATGGCAGAACAGAGAAAAGAGGACGAGCAGAAAGCTGCCGAGATGGCTGAAACACAACGACGCGCGAGAGAACAGCGGCGCAAGGAAGAGCATGAAGCCATGAAGACTGCGGAAAGACGACGGCTTGAACAAGAGCAGAAACGAAAAGAACTTGAACAAGAACGCGAAGAATCAAAGAAAAGAGTTCTACTCCAAGATCAGGAGAAAAGAGAGCAAGAAAGATCGAAGCAGGAATTAGCGATGCGTAAACAAGAGCAGGAGGAACGATTGAGAGAAGCTAATAAAGAAAAACAGGAACAAGAAGCCCGAAAGCTTTTAGAAGTGCGGCGAAGGAGACTTGAACAGAACGAGGAACAAGCTGCTGTGAACGAGGCAGAGCTTCTTGAGCAGAAGAACAGGAAGGATCAATGGTCCAAGGGGGCAATTGACAGTGGGAAGATGCTGTTGGAGGAGAGTCGCAGGTTAGAGGAGAAGTTTCGAGAAGAGGCGGAGAGGAAGAAACGACAACGCGAGGAAATGCAGAAGAAGGAGTTACTGGCCATGAAAGAGGCCGAAAATGAGCTCATGAGACGAGCACAAGCTCTGAAACAGGAAAGTTCGTTCAGCAACGATCAGCAAGGTTCTTCTTCAGCTGGTACAGATACTGGAAGGGATAGATCCCAACGCAAATTGAAGAAAGGATTTTTTGCGTCACTTTTTGGGCGTAAATAACAGTTAAACGTTTTGCGTGACACGATCATGGGTCAAATCACGACAGACAGGTTCCAAATTTGAATGGCCCTTAACTGTTCACATTTTAACATCAGTATTGATATTCTCCACGCCCTTCTCTATACGTTTCCTATGACACTGACAGAGAGAATTGGTTTAACAATGAAAGTTTCTTAAAGGGGAACTGAAGCCTAAAATTGGTATATTGTTTGCATTCATTTCAAGTTAGCTTTAGAGGATTAAGATAAAGTGTCGATATTCATTTTCGTTCACTTCTTGTTTTTTACGAGAAAATTCGATTTGAAGTTACCTTTTTCTCGCTTTTGGGGCTGTAAGACCGTCGGCTCAAAATAGGTCAGTGGCGGTCGTTTATGACGTCAGTGGTGGGGAACCAACTTAAGAAAAACAACTGTTACTATTTCATTTTCGTAGTTAATCCCCATTACAGGTCACGCAACTTCGATAACTCCATAACCAAACCAAATTTCTGTAGGAAGAGTACGGGTTTATTATCTTTCTTCCCCACCAGTGACGTAAGAGCGAGCTAAAGTGACCGCTGACATCGCTTTTCTGAGTCACCGTACTACGAGGCCAAAATACCACTTGAAACTATTTTTCAGAGGCGAAGTTGG